CGTGAAGGCCCGCAAGTTATGTGCACTCTGAGTTCTATGGCAATCCGGCCAAATGATAGAAAATGGTTTTTTCGTTTGCACAATTTTAACTCGAATTCGGACTATTATTTGAATTCTATGGATGGGTCAAAACTAATCTACAATCATGGACAAAAGTCTTGGGACACTTTTGCGTTCATGGGGCGTTTTCCAATTCACACAGGTCCAACCCCTCCTCTCACCCTACAAACAATGTTGGACGCGTGTATCCAGAACTTTTTCCGAGTTTCAACTTTCTATAGGTGAGGAGGGAGAACTGCAAGAAAATTTCCAAAAGAATGCGCTGTTTCAGGATGGGCTCCTGGCTGTTTTAAGAGGAAGCCGAGAAATGATAGAAAAATATGAATATTGCAGTACTGTCCCAGGGACGTTTGTCCAGAATTGTACCGGTAGCTCCCTTGTGTCATCACCGACTTGCAAAGGACGTTCGTTGCCAGTTGAAACATGTGAATAGCAAAACGGTCTTTGAACAGAAAGAAGAGAAAAATGGGAACTGCGAACTCTAAAAGAAAGTTCGTGGCGTTTAATGGACTTCCTATCGAACCTTCCTTGATTACTGTTGATTTGTCCAATCAAATTATGAATCACACCACTCCAAACGATTTCCTAGAGATTCCTTCGTGTGGATCTAAAGTTTAATGGAAGAGTTCTACAATCGGTTACTTTTTAAAAACCTTTATTACTAACTGTTTCACTAATTTTACATTTCCCACCTACATTAAATGGGTCTTGACAAACAAACTTGACTTTGAACTGAAATTGCAAACTCGAACACACTATTCAGTGAAATCTTTCACAACAATTCACCTCTAAGCCTAAAGTATGCTATTTCTAAAAGTTTTTTAACAAGTGAAATGCGGGAAGTGGGAGCTGATATTCCCAGTTTTAAATTTAAAACGTAGGAAAAGATTGTTATGACATAGCGCGCGTGCTTGCCCTATATATAAGTGCTATTGAGCCGCTGTGGACAAATTCTTTATTTACGCACGCCCGTGCCTAAATAAAGATTTTTTTCATAAGGACGTGTTCAGCTGTGTTTTTCGTCTCTTTTCCTAAGTACCCAAAAATCGACGGCAATGATGAAAAACTTTCTAGATTTTTTTTGAAATTTAGTTTCCTTCTAGCCACTCAAACCAACAGCAAAAGGGGTGAAGATGTTTCGCTAATAGAGCCTGAATGATTCGTTGAAAAGTCTGCCGTAAAGGCTGACATTTAAGTGGGAAAAGACCAGAAATTGGCCTGTGTCGGAAAATATCTAATTTGTATAAAGTGTCCTCCGTTTCTAACGTTTGTTTATCCTTTACAAAACAAGTTAATTGTAAAGAAAGCTCAATAACGAAAACTTTTGTACTTTTGTTATCGCCGAACAATCCGACTGAAGTAGGAAAATTTCTCTTGCAATAATAAGACCAATTACACAAGAAGACAAAAATTTATTACTCACAAAAACAACTGCTGCCAGGTCTTCTCAAGAAGCCGTAATGATCAGCCAATGTTCGTAAATGAATGTAAAAAGGATAACAGTCGTCTTCGCTAAAAAATATGTTTTCTTGATTTCGCCGATCAGAACGTAAACATCCATTTCAGCAAATCCAAAACATACTCCACGATTTCTTACGAACACGTGAGTATTTTAACTCTAGGTGAACTTTAAGACTCTTTTACCTTTGTTTCTGCTTAGTTTCCATTGATCGTTAACGAATAAAGAAGCAAATTTTCTTTCTCAGTTTTACAGAAAGAATTTTCATTCAAACTAGGGTGTTTGTGATCAGCCAATAGAAGCGTTTGTTATTGTGTCGCGAGTTACGAGAATTTGTATAGGTAATAGCATGATTTGTAGTGATATTTGGCATAAATACCATGAGTGATATTTCGAAATTGTTAATTTGAGACAATAACAACGTACATACACTACAGGTATATGGATGACCGAGTTTCCCTTCTATTCTCTAAGTCTCCCAATTTTTTTTTTGCTTTCTTATTGATCTTTTTAAGACAATCATTTTTTTTTACGGGGAACTGCCAGCCCTCCAGTTATTTCTAATGATCCTTTGATCCTTCGATCCTCCGGTCTCTATATATCATATAGTCAAAGCTCTCCTTGCGACCGCTCACGTAAGAGACCAGCTCTGGTTAAGACCAACCTTTATAAAACCCCGTTTGAACTGTAACTTAAACGTAAGCGATCGCTCCCATAAGCAACCTGGACCACCTTTGGCATTACCCAACTGAACTTTTCCTTTAAGCTCTCGTAAGCGGCCACTCAGACAACACTGAAATGAAACTGCACACTACGCTAATGGTTCGTTGATAAAATATCTTGGAGTTAATTTGATCAAAAAAATTGGACGTGGTGTTTAGCTGTGTCTATATCAGATACAAAGACACTCATAAGTGGGTGGGTTACTGCCCTCTATTGTTTCACCTTGCGGTCGCTTACGAGAGCTCATTCTCGAATTTGACGAAAGCAACCAGTTCTAGTTACGACCATTTTTTGGAATTTCCGTGATGGTCGCTTACGAGAGCTTCGACTGTAGGTCCAATTTTTTTGAATGTTTGTGTAACCGCCGTGTGACAGGACAATAAAAAAGTAAAGTAAGGATGACATGCATTTCATTTCGTCACTTCATAATATGTGTACCTTTAGAAGCTACTGCTGTATTACTACAACTGAGATGCGGCAGTTGCCCAACTGAATTGAACTAACTTTCAAGTTTGTAGGAATATAACCATGAATATTTCACTTGTTCAGACAATGAAAATTCAATAGAAGTTCAATCCTTAGACTGCCAAAGGCTTTTATAGTTTCATCACTGCTAATTCTCAGTTACTATACCTGCAGCCACTAACATGTACTGACTGTGGAAAAAAGGTAAAATGCAAATGTTCTATTTATAGTGGAAGTGCATTTAGCTTCCCAGCTACATCACAGACAACCCACCCAAATAACTAGAAACAAATGATTCAATTCAATCGTAACATGATTATTAAAACCCAAACGGGCAGGAGTCAGACCCTTTTTACAAGCGAGGTCCAGGAGTTGAACTGGAGCGAACCTGTGAATCGATCGATCTGGTGGTCATAGCGGGACTTTGGACCTCCGGATTGCAAATCACACGCGTCTACCACATGACCAATGCTGTCTCCTTGAACAGCGGCGTATTTACCAAAATCGCATAAACAGATGAGCATGCCCTTCAAATCTGAAGTGCTGATATAACTCCAAAAAAACGATGCAAAATAAACTAGAAATGGAGTTTGTTTGATCAAATTTAATACGTGTTGTAGGATGACACTGACAACGCAGGATACATCTCGGTTATCGTTACCCACGCGAGTCCCTTTTGACTTGTCGAGGGTAATTATCATGACTCGGGTGGACGGGGAGGGGTTTGGGCTACCCTTTTATCTCTTCAACTGTTCACGGCCTCTTTAATTTACTATATAAACACGTTTAACTTTAACAGAATATAGAACAGATCATATCAAGCCTATTTCAAACTAGTTTTTCTAGTTCACCAATGATGTCTTCCATACTAGGTCTGTCTTGAGGATCTTAATGCAAACATCTCTGGACAAGGGTTAGAAGCGCGTGGTTTGTTACCATGGCGACTTGGTCATCACGCTTTTCAGGATCTGGCAGTTTTCTAGTGCTCATCTCACAGAGGAGAACACCAAAACTGTACACATCGACCTGACAACGAAGAAATGAACGTTGATAACTTAAGATAAGTATATTCAGGATAACAACACTATTAATAGCTGCATATTTCGATAATCATTTACATATGCATTATTTGACTTCTTTCTACACTCACGACACTTTCAAAGTTAGGATTCTTAGGCGGAAATTCAAATAAGACAAAGGTTTTTGTTCCTTCCAAGGACTCAGATTTTTATTAATCGAAAAAAGAATCTTTCATACATTTTTTTTTATTCTGTTTAGTCTTTTGGTCTAGACTGTCTAGTATATGGCTTAGCCTGCCACAAGCTTCATATTGCTGGTTTTCAGTGTCACGCCGTTCAAAAGAAATAAAAATCAAAACAGTTCAATAGATAAAGTCCAAAATCTAGGAAATGAAAGGAGGTGCATATACAAAGACCCTCGCCAAGATTCAGGTCAGAGGTATATTTCGTATTCGAGATAACCGAAGAAATGTTTTACCCAAACTTATAGAGATTTGTATGGAGACGCTGTGCTTGTGCTCACCCTGATGAGCTCCAACATGGCGGACGGAAACCAACAGAAACATCTGTTACCGAGTTTTGCTACAAAAGCGTGAATTTATTCTTCGAGAAACTCATAAACATTAAACTAACTATTTTTCTAATACATTAACTGTTTAGATAGCAAAATTTCCTGAAATAAGTCATTTTTTTTTAACCCACGTGACAGCCCTCTTGGCCGTCATGTAAATGCCGCGTCACGCAAAAGCTTAGAAACTCAAGCGTACTCTATCACAAAACCAAGAACCCTTTTGAAGCGAAAATTTGTGTGAAAATTAGTTTTCAGCTGCTTTAATGCATCGTGAAAGTAAAATCTCGGTAGGATCGATAGTTTTTTAGTTTGAATTTTAGTGACGTCATGTGAAAACCAACAATAGCTCAGGGCCCAGTTGTTCGAAAACCGAATAGCGCTTAAGCCGGGCTTAAAATGAACCCGGTTTTCTTTTTCTTGTGTTCTCGGATAATTTTCTGTGCTATTTTTAGAGCTTCCAATCATCAACTTGTAGACAAAAAAAAATTAAAACTGAAATGCTTTTTAAGCTTTCAAATCTGAATTCAAATCTCGCATTAAACCTGGGTTATCTTAACCTAGCTTTCAACAACTCGACCCAGAGGTAGTGGTGGACAAATATAATCATGACGATTTTCCTTCGGTTTCTCGCAGAAATAAAATATCCTACAAAAGTTGTTACAAGTTAAAATAAATAACAAATACAGGTTAAAGATTTCAGACGACACACCTTCACAGTTTGGTATACACTAAACGCTTCACGAGCACTGTATATTGCAGCACCTGGACAAGCTGACATGATAGGCTGCATAAAATTGGCAGCACCATAATCCGACACTTTGCCTCGCCATTGGTCAGCTTGTCGCCATAGCAACACATTGGCGCTGCTGATATCGCGGTGGATAATGGGGCGTGGTTTCCTTTGGTGCAGGTAATTTAATGCTCGAGCCACATCCAGAGAGATAACAGCCACTTCAGTTGTAGAAAGAGGTCGCTGCTCCAGCAGTTTTCGCAAACTCGTTTCCATGAGCTCTGTCACGAACAAAGGACTTCTTCCTTCATCGTTCGTTGCTCCGATGAATTGCAGCAAACAAGGATGGCGGCATTTTGAAGCAATGCTCATTTCCCGCTCAAACTTTTCTCTGTTATGAGGAGAAAGTTTCAGAAGCGCCTCGTAAGGCCGTTTCACGGCAACAGTACAGCCACAATACTTGCCTTCGACAACTTTTCCCCAGCCTCCTTTACCAATGCATTTCTCTGTCAGCTGAATTTGATCACGTGAAATGACCCAGTCAGGTGACTGTTGGTGTGGACGTTCACTTAACGCTTGTTGAGCTGTTGCAAGAGATTTTCCCAATTCATTCACTTCTTGTTGTTTTGTTCTCAGTTGTTCCTTTATGGTGGTATTTTCATCATCTTTTTCTTGTAGCTGTCTTTGAGCATTTGTCAACTTTTGCGTCAACTCTCCCAGTTGCCCTGGAACATTTGTCAACTGTTGTGTCGCTTCCCTCAGTTGTCCGTCTCTCTGTCTTAGTTGCTCTTGGACATTTTCCAACTGCTGTCTCAACTCCCTCAATTGTCCTTAAAGAAATAAAGATGGAAGTACGCCATTTTCGGCTTTTTGTCTCACTCTAAAAATAGACAATTTTCTTTGGTCTCACGCTTAGTGTAATATCTAGAGAGGATCAACAGACTGAATCTTCTATGGCTGCCTCATTCTAGGGGGAATTCCTTTCAATACAATTAATTTATCTTAATTTTGGACCCAAGGTATGTGATCTTAAGATAATAATGTACCTCGTGTGTTGCTTGAATGTTTTATTTTTTTTGCTTCCGTATAGGGTGCTCAGTCTCCTCTCTTGTTGTTCTCTTGGTTACACTCATGGGCTTGCCTTATTTTAATATATTTCTTTAAATTACAAATACAAAGTAAAATTCTTAATTGATTGGTGTTTTTGTTCATTTTTTATTTGGTCATACATATTACTTCTAACTCTGAGAACAGTCCAAATACTGATCATCTCTTTATTTTTTTACCCCCCTTGAACGATAAGGAGAGCTGCCAAATGGGGTCATTGGCATCCAATCCCTCAGTTTAAATTTCCTCTCTTTTATCACATCAAATGAAACCTAAAGGCTCATCAGTGGAGTTCAATGATCCTGGGTACAATTATTCGCCTCGACAAATTGGTCTCTTGGTTAGATTCTCTTACCTGATGTTTCCTTTGTTTCAGTCCCCTTCTGAGTGTTTTCATTTAGGTCTTTTTCTGTCCCAGGAACAAATCCTCCTCCTCCTCTTCTCTTACCAGTTCGGACTATACCTCTAAACTGTTTAAACTAATTTGTATTCAAAACCACGATCTATCATGGCTCCGTAACGGAAACGCTACGTATGTAGCCTGCAAACAGGCCGCTGTTTAGACAACGGCTAAATTTGCGATAATTTTCGTCTACAGACAAAAAAAATAGCCGTTAAGTCACTCTGTATATATACAAAACGAAAATTTGTGTAGGTAATAGCATGATTTCTAGTGATATTTGGCATAAATACCACGACTGATGTTTCGAAATTGTTATACGTAATTTCACGAGCCGTTACGCGAGTGAAATTTGAGACAATTTTGAAATATCACGAGTAGTATTTATGCCAAATATCACGTACAAATCATGCAGGGGCGTAGCTGCCTGTACGCACGGTACGCACGTGCGTACCTGAAAAAGTCGTGCTCGAAAAGGATATAGAATAAATAAATAATAAAAAATAACAAGTTAATTCTAAAAAGGAAAGCAAAGTATCTAAAGATAATTATTTTAAGAGCACAGTTTGCCTCAATTCAACTCTGTTTGCTTCTTTGGAATGTACTTTTTTCTAAAACAACGGACTTTTTTTTCTCTCCACCCAAATTTCGGTTTCCAGAGAAACGACTGAGTAATTCATTAATGGACGGAATCTTGAGTAACGTACACCTGTATATCTAGTGAAAAGATAGTCTCCTTCGCAGCTCGCTTTTCTTTACAACCTGTACGAACACAACCGTAAATTTCCTTTTGCGACGTTGTTTGGAGGAAGTAAACACAGGGACCAATTCAATTACTTTTCTCAGTCCGAGGTTGGGTGCGGTCCCCAAGACTCCATAGGGATGGGTTCACCTATATACCTGCCATTTTAAGAGAGTTGAAATAAAAGTAAAAAAACGCGCATTCATTTTCATGATAGCTTGGGATGTTTACGTTGCCCTCGCCGTCGTCGTTCCTAAGGGGTCCTTATATCCATGAAAGTGACAGTTCCATTTTGGTTTTACTGCAAACTCGTATGATCAAATGCGGAAAAGTATCCGGATAATTGGACAAATTGTTTACAGTACAAAACATTGCGAATTTACAAAGCATCGGATTCACTTTAGATTTCGGATTCAAAATCTATAGAGACTTGACCAAATCGGCACCATTTCAATTCGGATTCACGCACTGCATCTGCTTAAAAAAGACAAAACGAACCCAGTAACGAAGTAAAGTAACGAATCCGGAAGAGTATGTGGCCTTATTGTATGACAGATGATTGACGTACATCATTCATAAGTTGTTAATGTCATTTCATATGCAGAAAAAAACTCTTAGGCTTACAACGCAACCACATCTTTGATGACGGAAGTTTCTTTTTGGAGAAGGGGTGGCGGGGGGAAGTGCAAAACGATTCGGAGAATTGTGCGTACCTCTGAAAAAATCCTGGCTACGCCCCTGGATAAGAAGTGGGAATAAAATTCAGTCGGTAGGAAAAGGTAAAAACCTGATTCAGTAACGACAAAAGTCTTTTGCTAAGTCTCTACGATTCACGCGCGTGTCGCACAGTGCTTTGTTTAGAACACTGTAGGTGGCATCTGAGCTGCTCCTTCGTTTCCAGGCTAACAACATGGCGTATGCTTTTTCGGATATTTGTTTATGGCCGTCATCAAATTCTTGTAGCTCTGATTCATGGAAAGTTAGCCGTCGCCCAAGCGTTCTCCAGTCGTTAGAGACTTTTTTTGATAGATGTTCTAGTTCATCTTCCGTTGGACAGCCTTCCTTCAATGCTCTAGGTTGTTGCGTAAGTTCCCACAAGTCGGGACGATCCCTACCCTGAGTTGGCGTTCTTAAGTGCAATCTACACAAAGGAGGCGCTCTGGCTTTTAAAATGCTAAAAAATTCCACTCGTGCTACGTCTCGGTCATCACGAAAACGAACCTCCAACTCAGCATCGTCTGGATCGTGCTCTAATAGCCTAAGATAAATTTGCTCCATGTCCCTCTTTATATATGGAGATATTCCTTCTGATACTAACACGGATGCCTTATCGTGCCAAGGTGTCATATCTTTCTTGGAGTTTTTGTAAACAGGCGTTATACCTCGTTTTTCAAGCTTTTTTACCACCTTTCCTTTAAGGTGAGCAGGGCAACACATCAGACACAAAATTTTTAAAAGATCCGGACGAAAGTAACCGAAGAAGACTGCCAGTCTGGGCTGAACAAAAATAAGGCTGTTATGAAAATTTATAATTCTTTGTCTATGAGACCTTGAGTTTTTGTTTCTACTCTCAGCATAATACGAATAGGCAGAGAACCGTTCCACATGGAATCTTACAAACTTTCCATCAAGAGTTGGCGGTTTCACAAGATCATCAGTGATCTCAATCCATTCTTTTCGGCCATTATCGGACTTGAGGAACAGTACTCTGACGTCGCATGTTCTGGGATTTAGATTCAAGTCTTGTTGCTCTCGAAGAGAAATTGGCAACTGAATAGTGACAGGTTTCAAAAACTGAACAGCGTCAAAACAGTTGATTCGCAATACAGGTCCAAGAAATCTACCTTCCTCTCCAAATTCTTCATTTGGAACTTCGTGCACCTTTAACTCCAACTGAAACTTTGCGTTAAGTGCAAGAGCATTCTCAGGGATAGTAACTGTCACGCCTGGGAAGTCAGGATGGCTGAATAAGCCGCCACCAGATGTGACGGTGTAAGTTGGAGAAGCCTTTAGACGGCAAACTACTGCATATGCTGAACACTCAGATATATCAGCTTGAGCAACCGGAAAGAAAAAGTCCGGTATTTTCATGTGGGAAGGGTGATTGTCTTCGAAGTCTTGACGACAACGTATGTCCACGGTTCCATCCACATCTTCCCAATTATTCGTCTTCCTGTCAATCAGCTTTTTTATCACCAGCTCGTAGCCCTGTAGGTGTGTTGCGCTGTGAGATAGCGACAGTTTCACCTTGGTGTTAAATTTTAGTTCTTGGCCATTCATGGAAAATAGTTCAATAACATTGCTAGTGATGGCTTCATGCTCCTGCAGCGGGGGTGAACGGACATTGTATTTCCATCTGTGGACCACTATTGACGTACGCTCAGATACAGCATCAGGGGGGATTATCAGGTGAACAGCACACTCTTTGAAGGCGCAGCTGGTACCTTCACTTGTCACTATTTCGGCTCCGGATTCTACTTCAATAACTTTCTTCCCTTCTGCTCCATGTTCACTTTTCATTTGATCAGCAGACGTTTCTTCCCCCTCTGTTTTCGATCTTCCATGGTATTCCGCACCCATGCCCTCCACACTCGCCAACTCAGCCACTTGCTCGGGTACTTTAGCATCCTCCTTTGGATCATCTCTGAGCACTCCTTGTGATTCTACTTTAGTGCCCTGATAGATACAAAAACAATTTAGTGTTCCATGTTATTTTTAAAAAAGATTTTGCAGGGACCATCATCTAAAACATCTATACTTAAACTGTTGACTTCCACTCTGAAATCGCGTTCTGTCTGGCATGGCTGTAAACCAATATATCTGCCTGAATTCGTTGACACGTGGCCACTAGGTTTTCGCCTGGAGCCGGGCTGCAGGCTACTCCGATGTAAACAATCTGAGAGTGCTTACCGCCAAGGCCGGCACAGGCAGACAGCCCAACAACAGCCCTAACAGTAGGTGGGTGGCCCACGGCTGCGGACAAATGCAGTGGGGTAGGGAGAGGGCCTTTTAATACCACTATTTCAGTGTCGGTGGGCTTAAGCATTGTCCACTATAGATTTTGAATGGGAAGTAACTCAGTGTTTCCTTTTGCCCGGCCCAGCTTAATCAGGCTTCTTCTGATAATTGCAGAGCTTAGGCAAAAGAGCAGACAGCCATTGAGTCTCTTGGGTGAGGAGGAAAAATTGTGCGTACCTCTGGGAAAACCCTGGCTACGCGTCTGTCATGCTATTATTTGTTTATACTACTACCCTCAAAAGGTGTGTAATTTTCACATGTAGGTATTTCAAATTAAGCTGAAATACCACTGCTCTAAGCCAATTAAATTGCAGAAATTTCTCATGCAGTAGTATAAAGCCATTGATTGACGGCTAAATTTTACATATATATATATAATACAAACCGAGAATTTAGCCTTAAATCAAAGGCTAAATACTAATATATATTTATACAAACCGAGAATGTAGCCATAAATTAACGCCTAATTTTATATATATATAGTTATAAAAACCGAGAATTTAGCCATTAATTAATTTCACCCGTTCCGGGTGTTATACTACTACATGAGAAATTTCTGCAATTTGATTGGCTCAGTGCAGTGGTATTTCAGCTTAATTTGAAATACCTACATGTGAAAATTACAAACCTTCTAAGGGTAGTAGTATAAACAAATAATAGCATGATTTGTACGTGATCTTTGGCATAAATACCACTCTGATATTTCAAAATTGTCTCAAATTTTTACTCGCCTAACGGCTCGTGAAATTACGTATAACAATTTTGAAATATCACTAGTGGTATTTATGCCAAATATCACTACAAATCATGCTATTACCTATACTTATATACTACTACATGAGAAATTTCTGCAATTTGATTGGCTTAGAGCAATGGTATTTCAGCTTAATTTGAAATACCCACATGTGAAAATTACAAACCTTTTGCGGGTGGTAGTATAAACAAATAATAGCATGATTTGTACGTGATATTTGGCATAAATACCACTCGTGATATTTCAAAATTGTCTAAAGGCTCGTGAAATTACGTATAACAATTTCGAAATATCACTAGTTGTATTTATGCCAAATATCACTACAAATCATGTTATTACCTATACAAATGAACATCACGATCAACCAGCCCCACATCTCATAGTTTGCAGGCCGTGAAAAGCGAGATTCACAAAGCTGTAAAGAAAGATGTTACCCTTACTGTAAAAAAGAACTGTGAAAGAGTCAGGGTGTAGGATTTATACCAGCAGAAGAGTCGCCGGCTGCGGCAAATGCAAACAGAATAAGACTCGAGAGGTAGGTGGCTTAAGTTACTCATGATAAAAGTCATCCCGAACTGGAACCAATCATCCAAATTCTTGAATTCGAAAAGTTTAAGAAAGATCAAGAAACGCAACAACATCCTGAAGACCACGAATTAAACAGAAAAGTGAACGAAAAAATGGGAAAATACGTTATGGAAGGAAATGGAAGAATATTTTGCGTTCTTTGTGGCTCCATATCAAGCTTCGCTGTTGAAAGATGCTCAGGAGTTGTTTGTTGACATAATTTACACCGGGAACACATCCCTTCCTTATCTTCTAAATATGATAGCGTTTAATGATCTAACCCTTACATTTAATGCAGTTGCTAGCCAAGGGTCCTGTGCAGCAGGCAAAATGGTCTAGGCTTATGCAACGGCAATATCAAAAGTTTTCGACCACGTGAGCAAGCTTCACTCTGCCTTCAAACATGGAACAAATCTGCGACAAATTATGGTAGATTTTGACCAAGCCAAGTATAAGGGCTTTCAAGAAGTGATCGGAAACTAATTGGCAGAAACCATTATCAGAGGTTGTAGCGTACATTGGAAGACGTCTGTTGATCGTGTCAGCAAAATAATTACGTGAAACCAGAATGAATTCAACGTATTTAAAACATTAGCTTATAACGTTCCTTCTGATTTCTACGTTGAAAGACCAATAACTGATATCATTGCGATAATCAACGTTCTTTGTACTCAAGAACCACCTTAGCGGGTTTTACACCTTTTACGAGGAAATCGTAAGAAAATTGCTCAAATTTAGATACTATACAGGTCATTGGACTTGAAAAGGCAGAACATTGGGCGGTATGGTGGCAGTGAGAAAGAATCCTAAAGATACTTTGCAAAGCATATTTACTTTACGGTACATCGAAGATTGAGACTCGACCCCTAACACGAACAATCCTGCGGAATCGTTGAATAGGTCCAGAGGGTAGCAATAATATAGCAGTCCTCCTGAAAAACATCTACTTAGAAGACAAATTGCAGCTGTAAAAAAAGTGGCCAAAGAAAATAATATGAACATTGACTATGGATCAAGAAGTCAGCACGCAAATCACAACAGGCCGAAAAGGAAAACGTTCAAGTCTTGTCAAAGGCGATAAAAGAAGAGCCATGCTAATGGCATTTACTCCAAACCTCCGCGTTCGGGAACGCACGAAAATAATTTCAATATGACTCTATTATCCACCTATAACAATGGCAGACTTGGTCCTGATAAAGAGAAAAGATGATAGAGTAAAAGAACGAAAACAATGAAAGCGCATGGCTTGCAAGAAAATGAACTCAGTTATCGCCTCATAGCAACCAAGTCCACCAGTAAATACTTTATTGACTTATGGAAAAGCCTTCAGCGTCTCAGCTGCTATGCATACGGCCTCAGTACACTCATTCTTAAATTGTTGGTTAAAACTCTTGAAACTCTCTTATATAATTATGGAAAATATTTAGCCGTTATTAAGTGGCTAAATCAGAACCTCCTTCATATAAACATGGAAACTTATTTAATGGCTAATTAAAATAAGTTGTATAATAACGAAATATTTAGCCATTAATTGAGCCTCTCATATGAAGAAAATATTTAGCCGTTATGTAATGGCTAAATTAAGCTGTACAAAACGGAAAATATGTAGCCCTTATTTAATGGCTAAATAAGTTGTATAAAAAGGAAAATATTTAGCCATTATTTAATGGCTAAGTTGAACTTTAAACATATATACATGGGAAACATTTAGCCGTTATTTAAATTAATGGCTACATTCTCGGTTTGTAGAATATACAAAGTGACTTTTTGACTAAATTTTTTTTTATAACTGTAGAGTCAATTTATTGAAAATTTTGCATTTATATATACACCCCCCTGACGCCTCTCGGTTGAATTTGTCCTTCGAACTAATGGTATCTGAGGTACTTTGAATTTTTTTATGCAAACATTTATCGAACGGTTCATAACAGTTATCAAGTTAGTAACTAACAATTGGCGCACGCTTGCACCGTAGCTTCCTCAAGTCTCTTTCAAACATTCTTTTTTGGCTATATGGCATTGCGATAAATTGTTTAATTCGAAGAGAGACGCCTTTGTAAACCTGTTCCATGAGTTTAGATAGAGACTGGCAGACATGCGTGACGTAATACAGTAAACACAACATGGGACACGGAAGTAAGTACTCAGTCTCTCATCTCGTGACAGAAATTATTTTAGAAAATTACAATATGTTAATATTTAAAACTTTCTTACATCTCCAACGTCGACGTTCATGGCACTCAGTCGTCCGGGTCTTTTCTCGGACAAGATCCTACGAGCCTCGTCAGATTCACAGCTGTCCAGTGGTGTTTGTCCATTTTTGTTTTCTAGCTTTGGATCTGCACCGTTATCTAACAACAACAGCAGCGTTTCTGTTAAAATCTCAACTTCCTCCGGCTCTGGCTTATACTTCGCAGCTAGATGGAGAGGTGTGTTTCCCTCGGTGTTAACGGCATTTACATCACACCCTGCATGTAAAATAAGCTTCATGGTCCCAACACAGGGAAGCTTGCACACACTTCGCACATTGTCTTCTTTAATTGGAGTTTCGTGCCACGCAGCCAAGTGCAGAAGAGTATTTCCATCATTGGTACGAAGGTTTAAGCGCAGGAATCTTTGAAGAAACCCAGTCATACTGGCATTTTCGGTACCAGGGTTTAAGACCAGGAATTCTTGAAGCAAGCGGTTTACCCTGCTGGAATTTTTAACATTAACTTTGGTGTATATCATCAAAAGATAGAGAGCAGAGTAAAGCGTGTTTTTTTGCTCCTGGTTTCCATGCCCCTCTTGCGAGCCTTCTGTGAGTTTCTCACTTGCAGCAACCAGTATTTTAAACACGTCTTCAATGAAACGAGGTCTCAACAGTGTCCTTTTTTTTACCATGTCTCCAAATAGACCTGCTATGGATCCAACATCATTTGTTACTGCTTTTATTGGAACATCGCAGTTAAAGGCTTTCTCCATTGCTCGTTTCCACAAACCAATACAAAGCTCGTACTCCTCAGAGTCAGCTAAAATAGCTCCCCGGTATATAATTAGGTCCCGAAGTATTGGATTGTCAGGCCCAAGGATTCTCTCTCTGATTATAAGTCCTTCCATGCCAATAGTATGATTATCACCTTCTAACAGAGCAAGTTCCTCAAGAGTTTGACTCTCTTTTCTATTTTGGTAAGCTTCCACAGGTTCCATTTTATTTTTAAGCAATGGATGTGCCGGGTCTTCATATCTCTCCTCCATCCCACGTTTCAGGTAACTAAACGCTTTCTCAGTACCACGACATTCATCATTATTATTAGCAATGGAGGCACCAAGAAGTTCAAGAGCATCAATTCTCTGTTCCTTTGTACATTCCGGTCTTTTGATAATATGCTCCACCATTTCAATGGAAAATTGATTACAGGCATAAAGAAGAGGTGTTAAACCTTGATTATTTGGCAGTTGTAATGCTCCAAGAGCCAAAAGTTCACTGACAATCTCAAAGTGACCCCATTGAACAGCATAGTGAAGTGCAGTGCTGCCATCTTTGAATTGCTGATCAATAATGCCCCCTTTATCAATAAGATAACTAACAACACTAAAATGGCCATAGTAGCATGCTGCCATTAGAGGGGTGGACTCATAGTCATTGCGTGCATTCACATCTGCCCGCGCTTAACCAAACATCTCACAATGTCAATGTGTCCTTCGTAGGCAGCAACCCTCAATGGAGTAGAACCGGTCGATGTTCTGCTCTCAACATCTGCATTTCGTTCGATTAACAGCTTCACAACATCAAGACGACCAAAAGCAGCAGCGGCCCACAAAGGTGTACAACCCTCTGCAACTTGGTCTGCTATCTTAAGCGTTCCTCGAGCCTCGATGTTTGCATTACATCGTAGAAGAATCTTCACAGAATTCAGGTGTCCATTAAGAGCAGCGATGATGAGAGGAGTGGTAATCTGACCGCCATCTTTAGTTTTCGTTTCCAAAGCCGCCTTTCTTTGTCCAGGTTTCAGCCGCTTTAAAAGATCAGTCAGATTAGAAGAACCGTCACGAGCAGATTGATAAACGGTTACACTATCACTCACGGATAGCTTATCAGCCATTTAACATTAAAAAATTCAGCAAACCCGCCCTAGATGGAATTTACTACGTTTCGCTTGAAAGATACTGAATACACTCGGGTAAGAAAACAACTCACAACAAACAGACAGTTTTTGAGGTCATAACCTCGTATAAGCAGACTCTAAAATTTGTTCGCACAGTAAGAATCAGTACGTCGGATCAGATGACTCACGTTTAGTTCAGTCTATTTATTTCGGCAAAATGGTTCATGTTATTTCATTTCATCACAAGTCTTCTTATACGAATCATATTCATAAACATGAGGACCCGCATATGACTTTTTTCGGACACCACATGACGCCGTCGTTGTTAAGGACACTAGGTTTTGAGTGACAAGTAATAAACTTCCCAATGCGAAAAGCAATTAGTTTCTTCACCGTTTAATTTGGTCCAATCATCAGTGGCCAGTTATTCGATAAAGCGTCACATTTGTTACAATAGAGTAATTAGAGAAGAGATTACAATTGACAGTTATTCTTTGAAATCGAGGTGAATATGTAAATATTCCCAAAGCCACTATTCACCGAGATTGAAAAGAATAATTGTTTTAGTATACATGTTGCAGTTAATTTTTTTATTTTAGTTAATTTTTGTTTTTCCTTTGTTTCAAATTCATTAGCATACATTACCATACCCCAAAACAATACAAAAATAAAAATTAACTGAGATAAAAAATTAACTACAACATATACACACGAAGTGGTCTCAACAAAATATTTAAAAGTACGATTTGATTGACAGATCAAATCACGCGTAAGTTTAAAAATAGATCTTATAACATAGCGCGCGTGCTTGCTCTATATAAGCAGGGCGAATAAAGGTTGGGCGGTGAAACGAGCGCGTCCGAGCAAAAAGGTGTGATGCAGTGGACTGGGACTCTTCTTAGAAATGTCGCTTGTTTTTCACTCCGGTCAGGGCTTGCGATGTGGTTTGACCATTAGACACTGCTGCTGTCACTGAATTATGGCGGCTTGATTTGTTTTCTTGCACTTCTTCCTCGTTCCTTTGTGCTGGTACGCTGTCTCCGAGAGGCAAATGTTGCTATTTTTTGCGGGAGGTTTAGTTGGAGTAGACAAACATCTCTTTCAAAGGGTTTCTCTTACCTCCATGACTCTACCACTGAATTATATTTTCGTTCTACTGCTCGCCAATGTCGATGTTATTCCAAAACAAAAACAACTAACTACTGTCTAAAACACGGAGGAAAATCTCATCCATGTCATCCATGGCAAAACTAAAAGACAGCAGATCGTGTTTGATAACTAGATGACGTGTATTTTATAAGTGCGTGCAGCTCATGCAAGGTGAAATTATGCTAATTTCAATGACCATCATCCTTCTTTTTAATTTTGAAAAAAAAATGTCATACGTCTTTTTGTTTCTTCCAAACTTCAAAATTAGTTTCCCCTCAGTTTTTACTGTTTACCTTGTTTTGTTTAGAGAGAAAAACGGAGAAAAACCTTACAACTAACCTCAATAAATTTTGTTTACATGCGATTGCCGGATTTGCGACGCATTGCGCGAATCGCCATGGCGCGTTGCACCCGAGAAGCAAAGTTTGAAGCAGTACAACGCCACTATATCAAAATATATCAATGTAATTTTTTGTTATGTTATATAAAATTTATCCCCCTTTAAGATATGTAAAAATTGAGGTTAAGAAGTGTTAAGCTTTTGCAAACGAAACGGCGAAAGACGATTAGGTGACATTTAGTGGAAGGAGGAGGTATTCAACACTTTCAAATTAAACTCAAATTTTGGCATTATACGACAAACAAGTTTGACTTATAGGCATACAGACACAAACATATGAAACTGTTTATTGATATTGTTATGAAACGAATTTATCTATTTAACATTGTAGCCTGAAATTACAGAAAGAAAATAGGATTTCCGGTTTGCAAAAAGGAAAATTTCGCTCGCCTTCAAGCGCACCGGAAGCGCGGAAAGAGCGCTCGTGCCAGTCCTACTCCGCATCACATATTAAATGAAGAGCGGAGCGCTCGTTTCACCGTCCAACATTTATCCGCCCTGTATATAAGACCTATTGAGCCGCTATGAGCAAAATCTTTATTTACGCACGCCCGAGCGTAAATAAGATGACGTGTTCAGCTGTGTTTTTCGTCCCTTTTCCTAAGTACCCAAAAATCGACGGCAATGATAAAAAACTTTCTAGACTTTTTCTGGAATTTAGCTTCGTTCTTCGTGTTGGTATGAGAGAGTTGGAATGGGATTAGTGTTAAAATATGAAGAAAAAACGAAATGAAACTTACCTAGCAGATCAAATACAGCATACATACGTATCAAATATCCCATTTGCTCCGCCCTACAAAACTTTTCAAGAGAAATTTTCGTTCTCATACATTCCAATATCAACCATAAACAGTAGGTGAGAATCTATAAACAGACTGATAACGAGAAGGGTGAAATTCATTGGGACAATCCCCAATTCATGCCCTGGTGATTCCAAACAAAAATAAGAAAGACAACTTGCTACTGATGACTATGAACCGAGTAAATCTTACACTATCTTGTTACTTTAATTCCATGGCAGTGGAGGTTTTTGGTTTTATCCTGCTAACAGTGTTTCAGTGCCAAAATCACCGCCAGCAAATCGGAGTACAAGGCCGGAAATATATATATCTACGAATCCTGAAGCTAACGGGGAACAAAGAGCTTTCTGTACCGGATATGATATTTAAAAGACAGGAAAGATTGGAGGAATTGAAAATAGAGTTTTCGTTCGTTCCAGAGCAGAAACGTATAACGGTTCGCCTTCGCCGTATTTTTGCGACTACACTAACACGGCGACCTGTTACAACTTGCTTTTCGACGCGGCCCAAGGAAGACACTTCTGAGACATCATGGGCTCTAAGTATTGCCACGAGTGTATCAGAGAAAAATGAAAAATGGACATCGAAGAATACGTTTTCAGCGCTCCGAGCATTTCACGAAACATGAATGAAGCTTCTTTGAGCGATACCATACTTTATACGAGGCGTGAAGGCCCACAAGGCATGCGCAGTCCGAGTTCTATGGCAATCCGGCCAAATGATAGAAAATGGTTTGTTCGTTTGCACAATTTTAACTCCAATTCGGAGTATTATATCAACCCTGTGGATGGAATCAAAACTAATCTAGCTCTCTCGTGTCAGACAGCCACTTTCGAAGGACGTTCGGTACCAGTTGAAACACGAGAAAGGGAAATTCAGGAAGTGTGGAATCACACAAAGCCAACTCAAAATGAGTTTCTTCTGGTTCCTGAAAATGGCCAGGGCGCGGAGCAGGTGCTTGAATGGTCTTTGAACAAAAAGAAGAGAAAAATGGGAACTGCGAACTCTAAAAGAAAGTTCGTGACGTTTAATGGACTTCCTATCGAACCGCCCTTGATTACGGTTGATTTGTCCAATCAAATTATGAATCACACCACTCCAAACGATTTCATAGAGATTCCTTCGTGTGGATCTAAAGTTTAAAGGAAGAGTTCTACCATCGGTTACTTTTTTAAAAACTTTATTACTAACATCGTCTTATTACTAACTTTACATTTGCCACTTACATGTAAACAGGTCTTGTAGGCAACGAATGGTTGACATAATGGAATTGACATACTTGTCTTTCAACTGCAATTGCAAACTCGAACACACTGTTCAGTGAAATCTTTCACAACAATTCACCTCTAAGCTTAAAGTATGTTTTTTAAGTTTTTTAACAACTGAACTGCGGGAAGTGGGAGCTGATGATTTCCAGTTTTAAATATAAAACGTTGGAAAAGATTGGTCACCCTTTATGTAAAAAATTTCTCGATCCACCAAGGCAAACTAAACTTGAAAACGAACGTAAGAATATTTCCCAAATGAAAAAGAAATGATTAATAGTAAAATAAATATCTCTTCCATATTTTGAGTCCACTCTACAGATTTACTAGAGCTAAATTAGTACATTGGATCGTGATTACTCTTTGATGAAGTAGGACTAACTAATCTAAGGACTACTTGCATTGCTTTTATTGGCGGTCAACGTACAGGTTTATGGATGACCCAGTTTCCCTTCTATTCTCTAAATCTTCTATTTTTTTTGCTTTCCTATCGCTGTTTTTAAGACACAATCATTTTTCTCACGGGGAATTATCAGCCCTCCAGTTATTTCTAATGATCTTTCGATCCTCTGGTCCCTATCATGCAGTCAAAGCTCTCCTTTCGACCACTCTCGTAAGCGACCAGCTCTGGTTAAAACCATCTCTGTGAAACCCCGTTTGAACTGTGAGTTAAACTTTGTAAACTGACCGCTCCCGTACGCGACCTGGACCACTTTTGGCATTACCTAACTGGACTTTTCCTTTGTTCTTAAACTCTCGTAAGCGACCACTCAGGCAACACTGAAGAAACTGCACACGGCGCTAATGGCTCGTTGATAAATATCTTGGAGTTACTTTGATAAACAAACTGAATGTAGTGTTTAGCCGTCTATATCAGATATAAAGACACTCATAAGTGGCTGGGTTACCGCCCTCTATTGTTTCACCTAGCGGTCGCTTACGAGAGCTTATTCTCGGAAGCGACCAGCTTTAGTTACGGCCAATCTTTTTTTTTTTTTAATTGAAGAGGTGGTCGCTTACGAGAGCTTCGACTGTATGTCCAAATTTTTGGAGTGTTTGTGTGATCGAATCTCTGTAAGTGTGAAAGGACACGACGACGACGACAAGGACAACGTCAAAAAACAATTGGTTTTATATTATGAGCAAAACAACTACTGTGCACTTGCATCACGTTTTTTAGTACATTTCTTTGACGTCCACTGCACGACTACCACGTGAAACCTCCCAATGCGACGTTTTGTGGAGGACGTGGACATACGACGACAAATTGTCCTTCCTCAATTTGAACATGGATAAAGTCGTTAAAAATTCAACTCCAGGAAAACTCGCCTACATCTGATGAATTGTGCGGCTTCAAATAGACGCCATAAAGTTTGAAAGGACGCAAATTCATTTTTTTAATGATGTTTTCACGGCAGTCGTTGTCGTTGTTGCTTAAGGTTTCTAATAAAGTAAAGTTAGGATCCCAATATGCATTTCATTTCACTTGAAAGACTGATATCTACTTTTAGAAGCTACCGCTGTATTACTACGACTAAGGTGCGGCTGTCGCCCCACTGAATTGAACAAATTTTCAAGTTTACAGGAGTATAACCATGAATATTTCACTTGTTCAGGCAATAAAAATTTTAAAAATTCATTGGAAGTTCAATCCTTAGACTGCCAAAGGGTTTTGTAGATTCAGCACTGCTAATTCTCTATCACTAGACCTACAGCCATTACTAACATATGCTGATTGCAGAAAAAAGGTAAAAAGCAAAATTTAATGTTATATTTATGGTACAAGTGCACTTAGTATATACACACTCAGTGATCTTGGTGATTTAAGCAATCTGCCCCCTCTTGTTATATCACATAGCATAATCTATGAGCCTTCTGTACATGCCACTATCAATGAAATGGATCGTTTCATTCAAACAGAGACGACTTTAGAATTTCAGCCTGTTCTAGGCGTTCAGATAGGGACGGGCAGACAAGCGAGACGTATTATCATATCATAAACACAACATACGGACGCGGAAGTAAGTATTCTCTCATTTCGTGACAACGAACTGAATGATTTTACAAAATTATAATATGTTAATATTACTTACATCTCCGACGTCGACGTTCATGGCACTCAGTCCTCTTTTCTCGGACAGGATCATACGAGCTGCGTCAGTTTCACAGCTGTCCAGTGATGTTTGACCATTTTTGTTTGCTAGCTTTGGATCTGCACCGATATCTAACAACAACAGCAGCATTTCTCTCAAAATCTCGACTTCTTCAAGCTCAGCTGCCTTAAACGTCACAGCTAGATGGAGAGGCGTGTTTCCCTCGGTGTTAACAGCATTTACATCACACCCTGCATCTAAAATAAGCTTCATGGTCTCAACACAGGGAAACTTCCACACACTTTGCAAAATGTCTTTTACAAATAAAAAAATTGGAGTTTCATGCCACGCAGCTAAGTGCAGTAGAGTATTTCCATCATTGGTACGAGGGTTTAAAAGCAGGAACCGTTGAAGAAAGTCAATCATGTTGGCATTCTGAACTTTAACTTTGGTGTATATCTTCAAAAGATAGAGAGCATAATAAACCGTTATATCTTGCTCCTTATTTTCATGACCCTCTTGTGATTTTCTAGACTTCAATTGTTCACCCTGTTTCTCACTTACAGCAACAAGTATTTGAAAGGCGTCTTCAATGAGATTTGGTCTTAAAAGCTTACTTTTTTGTACCATTTCTCCAAATACAGCTATCTGGTATTTAAGACAACTTATTACGTCTGTTATTGGAACATCACTGCTGTTCATGGCTTTCTCCGACGCTCTTTGCCACAAACCAGCAGAGAGCTCGTACTCCTCGGATACGTCAGCTATAACAGCTCCATGGTATATTAATGATGGCAGATTTGCTGGATTGTCAGGCCCAAGGATTCTTTCTCTGATTATTAGTCCTTCCATGCCGATAGCATGATCATCACCTTCTAACAGAGCAAGTTCCTGAAGAGTTTGACTCTCTTTTCTATTTTGATAAGCTTCCACAGGTTCCATTTTCGTTTTAAGCAATGGATGTGCCAGGTCCTTATATCTCTCCTCCATTCCATGTTTCATGTAACTAAACGCTTTCGCTTTCCCAGTGTCAAGAGGTCGATCAATAGCAATGGTGGCACCAAGAAGTTCAAGAGCATCAATTCTCTGTTCCTTTGTACATTCCGGTCTGTTGATAAGACACTCCACCATTTCAATGGAACACTCATTACAGGCATAAAGAAGTGGTGTTAATCCTTGATTATTTGGCAGTTGTGATGCTCTAAGAGCCAAAAGTTGAGTGACTATCTCCAAGTGGCCCCTTTGAGCAGCGACGTGAAGTGCAGTGCTGCCATCTTTGTTTTGCAGATCCATAAAAGCACCTTTGTCAATAAGATAAATAACAACATTTAAGTGGCCGAGATAGCACGCTGCTATTAGAGGGGTGTTCTCAGTGATAGTGCGTGCATTCACATCTGCCCCGCTCTCAACCAAACATCTCACAACGTCAAGGTGCCCGTTAATGGCAGCAGTCGTCAGTGGAGTCGAACCGGTCGATGTTCTGCCGTCAACGTCTGCATTTTGTTCGATTAACAGCTTCACAACATCAAGACGACCAAAAGAAGCAGCGGCCCACAAAGGTGTACAACCCTCTATAACTTCGATTCCTGTCTTCAGCGTTCCTCGAGCCTCGATGTCTGCTCCATATCCCAGAAGAATCTTCACAGAATTCAGGTGTCCATTGCGAGCAGCGATGATGAGAGGAGTGACAAAATGGCCGCAATCTTCAGTTTTTGTTTCCAAAGCGGTTTTTCTTTGTTCATTTTTCAGCCGCTTTAAAATATCAGTCAGATTAGAAGAACCATCACGGGCAGCTTGATAAACGTGAGTTACACATTCGCTAACAGATAGGCTATCGCCCATTTTAAATTTAGCTTCAGTGAACCTTCTAGTTTGAATTTACTTTACCTTACGCTTGTTCAGTTTTCAGCCTCTTTAAAAGAGCAGTCAGATTACAAGAACCGTCACAAGCAGATAGATAAACTTTAGTTATCACTCACGGATAGCTTATCAGCCATTTAACATTAAACTTCAGCGAATCCGCTTTAGATGGAATTTACTACGTTTCGCTTGAAAGATACTGAATGCACTTGGGTAAGCAAAACAATTCACAACAAACGGACACTTTTTAAGGTTCGATAACCTCGTATTAGCAGACTGATAAAAATTCAGATCAGTTGACTGATCATGAGTAGTTCAATCCATTTATATCTCGTCAAAATGGTTCATGTTATGTCAATTCAACACAGGTCTTCCTATACAAACCATATTCATAAACAATTAATATTCTGTTTGAAATAACACTCGGTGGTTTTAAACTGTCATTCGCGATACGCCTGATTTCCACCAATTATACACAGTCATCCTAGTGTTTTCGCTTGGGTAGGAAGTCCTAGCTACCAGTTCCTATAATTTCTGCCTTTTCTCAGCATAAAATTTTCAATCTAACTCAATCTAACCGTTATAAGTTTAGTTCCTAGCCCTAATCACTGTAGAGCAGCCCCCCTGCAGCCGGGAAGAGTCTTAAAAATCTAAATGCCCGGCAGTCAGAAATGTTCTAGTAAGAATTTCTGCAAAATTCCTTTTTCTACTCGTTTGAAAGTTCTATCTTCATTTAGAATTACCAAGCGATCAGGACTGAAAACAAGAATGGCTTTGCAGCTGAGCGGTTGTAGTTTTTTGGGCGTAGAGGGCATAGAGTAGAGTCGACGCCGTTTTGACACAAAAATGTTTGAAATTTTTTTAAAATTTCATGAGAAGCAGTTCGAGGCTCACGGGCACGTTTTCATCCAAGCTCAATACCCGTCAGTGGAAAGCTAGAAAGCCTCCTCTTCAGCTGCACAATGTATTCTAGCCTAGAGATAAGTGGATCAAAGTTTTCCAAAACAAGAGCAAAAACACAGGCAGTGCTTTAATTTAAAAGTTCTTCAGAACGTAACCTGGTTAAAACAGTTTAATCAGGTTAATTTTTATCAGCGGCCGGACTCAATTTAGACTTTCACAAAGTCATTCAATGTCGCGCGGTTTTTTTGTTTTTCCTTTCGCTCGCAAGAGTCACTCATAACGCTCGCCTAAGAGTGACTGACAAACTTTGACCCCGTATTACTGACAAAAAGGGGTCGACTTCTTAAAAGTCTTATCTCAGTTGTGTTACTAAGAAAGAAGTACTGAACTTGGAGCGAAAGAAGTTATTTCGAAATTGTGCTTGCGTGCATGTTAAAGCCAAAATTTGAACCATTCTCACGCGTAGGTGGAGATGATCGACTGATTGATAAGGTTAACCTGCGTTAAACTACCTCGCGAGGTGGTTTTAAAAAATCTAACCTGGTTAAGAAAATCTATTGTTCTTGCTTGATTTGCATAACCCGGTTAGAACTCGGTTAAGACTGTAGAAAACCCGGCCGCACTCGCAGTTCTTTTAAACGAGTTGACTTTAATTAGTTCATTGGAAATAACTCGGTAAAGTTCCCAAGTGCGGTCGCAGCCACTGACATGTTACAAGATCATTTATAGCCTGTAAACAGACGCCCCCCCTCTCCAAAAAATCTTCCTGTTTTTGTTTTGTTTTTAGGTGAGGGGGCGTCTGTAAGACCACAATTATGCTGGCTATACCATGCTGATGAGTCCTAACAAGGACGAAACAGCCGTCCTCGGCTGCCACTGCCGGGGTGATATGGATGTGTGCACGCGTAAGGTACTGATGGCCATATCGCGGAGTTGGTAATGTTGGTAGTGTGTGCTTCAGTGCATAATTGGGGGCGTCTGTACACAGGCTATCTGTGAATTCAGAGTAG